TTATCACATGTAAGATTATCGCCTATGAAAAGCAGGTCAGATGACAGCTAATGACTCATGTTTTATAAGAATACATTTCTGTACTAATTAAATGTCGGGTGACATATGGTGAGAACATTAGGCGAATGCCTGCCTTGCCAAATGAGGTGTTTACACTGTTCTTTGTCAGCATCTTCTGGTGCTAGGTAGCCAGTGTTGCATCTGTTTAAATCAATGCAGAAACACTTCAGAACTTCCAAAAACATCTGCATTTTCTTTTACACCTTGTAAGCATGTGTTAGATTTAGTGAGGTTGGAGAAAATTATGTATGGTAATTTGGATGTTTTATTGTAGCTTAAGGCGTTGATTTTGTAATTAATAGTTGTTATTTGTAAATCGATACAACGCCTGTCATCTTGTGACAAGACGCTTCTTACCATGCTTCTGTCATGGGAAGAATGCCGTAGCCAAAACTTGCGTGCCTCAGCCTGGAAAATGATGGGGCTGAGGTACGAATGTTCCTCCCTGTCCCCTCTATTTCAAATTCCTGGATCCAGAACAGTCATTGGTTAGTTTCAAGAACATTTCATGGTTACAATCAATATTTTCATAATTATATTCCTCTATGCTTAATTAAAGATGTACTATCAGTCATTAATTTAAAAAAAATTATTTCCACATGTGAATGGAATCAAATCTGTCCTGTCTTTTTGACTGATAGTATTATGTATTTGAAATATACCATGTGGGTGCTATGAGCATCTAATTACTGTTATATATTGTTTGATATTATGTACTATTATTTTTTTTTTATATAGAAAAAAGATGGTAGCAGTGCATCAGGTTCAAGATCATCATCCTCTGCCAGTAGTAAATATGGAGGTAACTTTTTTTTTGCATCTAATAAAAGTCATGTATTTATTAATTACACATATATATTTTTAATAAAAGTAAAGTAATATGATAAAAAAAACAAATTAAAATATGAATTTTAAAAATCATGCAAAATTCTAAATTTATATAAATAAATAATTTAGTTAAATCTAGATTGAAAGGTATGAATAAACAATTTATTTATCTTTAAAGATAAAATAAGTAGTGAATATTAAAATACAGGTTTTTCTCCAATTAAAGACCCATCCAATTAAAGGCCCTTTCCAATTAAAAACTGGAAACTTTTCTGTGGTCCAAAATTAACAAATATCTTATATCTTCATTATTATAATTAGAGACCAAAGCTGATAAAGACCATGGAAGCTCCAGTCCTAGACGTGGTCTTTAATTGGAGGGAGACCTGTATGTGCACATGAAACCATGTGATGTGTTAAATCTTGGGGCTACAAATAAAATATAGGTCTCCCTCCAATTAAAGACCACTTCTGGGACTTCATATGGAATGATGTGCTGTATATATTACTGGCATGTTGTTTGAATGTATTATTTATTCTCATTTGTCAGAAATGACAATATTTCAAAAAGATATTTCTTGTCAAAAATGACAACTGATGTTATGTTTGGTCTTTCTTTTCAGCATCGGGAAAACTTAGAAAAGGTAGCGGACCGGCAAACATCGCAGATGAACACTTACAGAACGACGTGGAAGAAAAAAGACCGAGGCAACTCGAATTGGACGCGGCCAATGAAGACATTCAGAATATTCCACCCGGACTCATTGAGAAGTACAAAATCGGACGAGTCATCGGTGATGGTAATTTCGCCGTTGTCAAGGAATGCACAGACAGGTGAATTGTGGGATGCATTTCCCATGAAATTGTTGTCATGGTTATTATTACCTTGCTTGTTTTTGCATTTAATATTCCTTGAATGTTGTGTTCACTGTTTCATTTGAATGATATATATTTAATGTATAAACAATCATTTTCGTTGCTCTATCTATTTTTTAGTTTTTTTTTTAAAGAAGAAATAACTTTGCAATAATAAACTAATAATTTATTTATTTAATTGTTGGCATGAAATTCTATATTTTGTGAAATTATAATTAATGTTGTTGAGTTAATTAACATAATGTTTTCTAACTGATTAAGTTGTATATTACCGTAGTTCCTCTGGTGTAAAGTCCACTATTTTTGGTGCAGAGTCCAATTTTTAATCAAATGGCAATTGTTTGGCACTGTATACCCAATTCGAAAACCAATATTTGACTTTTTTGCTGAGAAAATTTGTAAAACTCATACCCCGGGCTTTTGGCAGAGAAAAGGCAGGTACATGAAATTGGGCATAAAGTATAGTGTGGGCTTATACTCGAGATGGCCTTATACGCAAGGAACTACGGTACATATATGAAGTTTATATACATTAACATACAGATGAATAATAACAGTGCTGGAATAGAAACATAAGATGCAGACATCTTAAGAGGACATTTATGTTTCTATTATAGCAACTGCTACTATTTTATCTGTTTGTGTTGTGTTTACGTTGCTATGCAGCCAACCTTATTTGTTTAAAAAATGTGTTCTATTATTTTGCAAAATTGTCTGGGTTTTGAGAGAATGCATCACATTTAATACCGGTACATCTTGAAATAATTGTGCATGTGTAAAGAAATATTATTCCTTTTTTTTCATGTTTTTTTTAAAGCATCCATGTTCCTTATGCATGTTAAGTCTAGCACACACTGCGTCTGCGGAACACCAACAAATCTTTCTGCGTCATATGTAAACGCAGACCGTTGCCGGTCGTTGAAAATGATGCATTGGGCAACACATATTAAATGGAATTGTGTTGAACTCTGACACAGTGTGTGGCAGTCTTTACTCTATTGCATTTGTATGTATTCCATGTCAGTCCATTCCAAAGGTTAATATTCAATTTGCTACTTCAATATTATTGATCTGAATAATTTATTGATATTAATATGATATTGTTTCCATCATATTTATATTTAATCCAATGCATGTGTACATCTATTAGGGAGCTTTTGATTGCACGACGGCGGTAGGGCGTGGAACGTAACGACATCACAAAAAGTCATCTGCGCATGTGAGAGCGTTGAGTTCTTGCAGCCGTGTAGATTCTAGGACGGAATTTGGCCAAATCTACGGTGCGCAGAGAACATAGGACGGTCATGTATAAGTGAATCCGTTCTAGCATTTGCGTCGTCTTGCAAATCGAAAACTCCCTATTATATTTTATTTTATTCATTTCATTGTCATTAATGAAAATTATCATAATTTGCTATTTTTTTAATTTATGAACTCTGCTTTTCTTGCATTGAAAACCTGCCTTTATTTTGCATTATTTGTATTATCATGAATCTACAGAAAGTTATTTTTAATGTTTTGCAATCATTAGCTGTTATAAATAACTCTATTGCAAAGAGTGTCCTCTGTTCTAAAATTCTTTAAAACCCCTTAAGTGATATATTACTAATTTAAAATAATCAAATACAGTATCCACTTTAATTGGAAAATAGAATTTGAATTTTTAACAATTTGTTTTTTATTTTAAATGTGAAGGTCTATGCAAAAAATATAGAAACAGCTTTTTTATGTTCGTTTGGGAAAAGTAACATTTTTTTTTTCAATCTACTTTATGATTAATAATTAATAACTTTCTTATTATACAAATTAAACAATTCAAATTTTTAATTGAATTGCTCAAGGTTATTTTTCTTGTTGCTTAACACAGTTTATCTTTAAAAGGCAATCTTTTTCTTGCCAATGAAATATTTATTCATATATTTATCTCTGCAATATTAAATACATGGCAATCTTGAAGAATTATAATTGACATACATTATTTTAGTTGCTTTTGATATAAAACCCTGATGAATAATGTATGGGTGCTATATAATCATTTGAAATTTGGTACATAATGTACAGTGAAAAAAATACATTGTACTATTGAAATGTATAAGTGTCAGCCAGGCCTACCATAACGTGTGTGAAGAGTCACTGGTTCATTCCATTTTATATTACTACAGTTAACTACATTTACAATACAGTGCAATCCAATACTCTATATATATGTATACCTAAAATATTCTGTGTACAAAATATAGAACTTAGCAGACTGTCCCAGGTAACATACATTCAATTAATATACAGTACAGTACTGCAATTTATATACCTTTTTGTGAGGAAATTTTGCCAACCACACAATAATTGTTCTGTATACAATGTATATCACAATTGTATTTAATTCTTTTTTAAACCATAAGTATTGAATATCAGTGCAATATCTATTCCTATTTGTGGAAAACTACCCAATAAATCATTAGGGGCTTTATTAAGTATTTCCGATAAAACATGTCAGGTTAGGAAAAATTGCATACTTGTTGAATATCCCTCTCATGTAATCTGTTGTAATACATAATTTGTAATCTGGTAAGAAATGCTATTTTTGGCCTTGATAATTGGCAATATACCATGCATATATTAAGTTATTCGTTACTAATTATATTTTCTGTTCTTATTTATTTTTATAATTTTTGATTATACATTTAGTTTGTTTTTACATTTCATTTCTATTCCATTATATTTTGTTGAAATAAACATTATTTACAATAATCATTTTATGTTTTCTTAGTTTTTGTTTTTGTTTATATTTTATTTCCATTGCTATTTATTTCCATTTGTAGATTAAATTTCTAATTTCACTTAAATGAACAACTATATAAACTGGAAACTTCTAAACATTTTTATTACATGATTCATCAATCTTCAAAATTAATCTCATTTCACAAATGCTAATTTGATAACTTCCTATTGAAATCATATTTCATTACAGACAACAATTTCACATCATAGATTGTAGTTTTTAACAGGATAATAAACAATTAATTTAATAACAATATGTCATCACCATAATCAAATCAAATTTAACCATCGTTTGATCTCAATCAATGTCCTATTAATGACTGTGCATTGGGTGAAAATTTAAGATTGCATCTATTATTTTACAGAAAATTATTTTCATCATTATTTTGTGGTACACTATGTATACAGTAATAACATATGTCAATGAAGTAGAAGGTTATGTAGGTATCCCACCTATGTAGGTCTCTCCTCCCCCCCACCACCCTGCCACCACAATTAAAGACACTTTTGGGGCTGGGGTTTCCATGGTCTGTAGTAGCTTTTGTCTTTAATTTGAATATAAGCTTTTGCCTTTGATTAGGATGTAATAGGGATAAAAGGCATTTGTTAATATAGGACCTCAGGAAAGTGGTCTTTAGTTGGAGGTGGTCTATAATGGGAGTGGTCTTTAATTAGAGGGAGACCTGTATACATTATGTTCTTTTCATCATTATTTATGAACGAATATATACATGACATGAAAATGTGTTTATGTACATTATGTTCAGCATTATTTTGTGGTACAGTAAATAAAATTAAAAAAAAAAAAACATTGTCATTATATCATCACGAAACATCATTTTTATCATAACTGTTAATTCTATCTTCATCATCATCATCATAATTGTCATAATCACCAATTTCACATTGTCATTTTCTCCAATGAAATCATAATCATGTCCTTCTCATCATCATCACCATCGTTGCCATTATTATCATCACCAATGCATTTATGGCCTCATTGACATTTTCATGAATACAGTACATTCATAATTATCTCTTCTTCTTCCTACTCCTCATCATCATCATCATTAACATTATCACCAGTGTTGCAGTAATGACATCATTGTTATTCACCAAAACAAATCATCATAATCGTATTGTTTACTCTCTTAATCCCTTCCTAACCATCATTATCATTTAATCAGTCAGTCAGTCAATCAATCGTTATGTGAAGTTCAGAGAGGAACTGTATGTCATCATCATCATCATTATTATCATCAATATTCACGTGCTATGCGCACAGAAGTTAGTCTCTCAAAATGCTACGTTTTTATTTTAAGTGTTCAGGTATACTGATATTGATTCAAGATTGTACATCAATTTTGTAGCTAAACATATTTTCCCCCCTAATTGATGTTCATACAATTTCTTATTTGCAGGTCAACAGGTGAAGAATTTGCTCTCAAAATTATTGATAAGAAGAAGTGCAAAGGAAAAGTAAGCTTCTAATTTGATCTACCAATAATGGAATGCACCACAGTTTCATTGGAATAATGTGCTATATGTATATGAAAATACTTTAATTGCTATCTCTTCCCACATGCTTGTGGTAACAAGTCATTTCAGCAAAACATGACAATGAAATTGGCATCTAGTGGTTCAGTTTTAACACGTTCACTTCAATGGATGAGTTTTACAGTTTTGAAGTGTGGCTGATGGACATGGAAGCACAAATTCTAAAAGTAAATTTAAGATGTTTGCTGTGTTGGAATACAGTGTAATAATACTTGTTGTCACAACACATGTCAATGAAAGTGTTCAACCCTATTCATTCATAATGAAACTGATATATTTTACATAACGTTTGCTTGGTTTGTTGAGTTCATACAAACTAGTACTGTTGTGTATTGTAGTGTTGTATTAAAAATATACTTAGTTTATTATAAATTTCATGCCATTATTCCCTAATAGGAAAAGATGATTGAAAGCGAGGTTAGTGTTCTACGCGACGTGAAGCACCCAAATATCATCCAGTTACTCGACGAATATGACGGGCCGAACCATCTATATCTCCTTATGGAACTAGTCAAGGTAAAATTAAACTACCCATGCAAAGGATTTGGAATTCACATATTATTTGACGAGTCAGTTCACTGAGTTTTTTAAGGCAGGGGTGCTGAAAGATGAGCTATAATATAAAAGCCATAATATATCAGCGTTGGTTCAGGTGGCAGGCTTTTTTATGGTTCTGGTATATGGTTATGGTGGTAGAACAAGTCTCAGATAAGGACTACAAACTGCAGGTCCAGTGTTATACAATTGCTTGTATACAACATAAGAATCCAGTACATCATTCGAGATGAGTTGGGAGGGGTGGGGGAATACATCCCAATGTACTGTTACAGGCAGCCTCTGTTGTGGACGACGAGAGTTGCTTGTACCAGTAGCATTGACATGAAGAGATGCTTAGGGATGAAGAAAGTGACCAAATGAGCTACTAAATATAGAGATGAGTTTCAGCTCTTTAAGTTAATAATAAGGTGTGCTGCCTTTGGGCAAGCAAAAATAAAAACATTCCTGAATTTTTTTTTTTAACCAGGGTTATGGTTAACATTTTTCAATTTTAATTTTTGTTTTTATTTTTTATATTAACATTCAACACTAATTCTTTTTTGTTGAATTATTGGCAAATGTTTTTATCTTGAAGGGTGGAGATCTTTTTGATTCCATTTCAATGGCGACAAAGTACACAGAACGGGACGCAAGTTGCATGGTCCACAACTTGGCTAGCGCCATTAACTACCTACATTCACTTAACATTGTTCACCGGGACATTAAGCCTGAGAATCTTCTCGTCTGCGAACACAGGGACGGAACAAAATCGTTGAAACTTGGGGACTTCGGTCTTGCGACTTTTGTGATGAAACCTTTGACCACAGTCTGCGGGACTCCAACATATGTTGCCCCAGAGATCATACTTGAGACTGGGTGAGTTGTTATTTACGTTGTTGAAATATTAATATATTTCACGTACCCTTGACATTTCTATTATGTAGTTTACAGTGTCTTGGTATTTGCCATTTCAAAATGCGAGTCATTTTGACATTTCTGAAGTAGTGTGACCCATTGGTGACACATTGGTGACACATGATGCATGTTGCAACGCTTGTGACACTTGCTGTGGCACATGCTTTGAGTCACATTGTTAAAGCTCTGTCCACGCTATAAAATTTTATGTGACAAATTTGTGTGGTATGCCCATATATGGAATGATGATGTCATATTTACAAATATGGCCATATCACAGTTTTTTGGTCACATACAATTTGAGTGTGAACAGAGCTTAAGGCATTCTATGATACATGTGACACTTGTTATGACACATATAAACACATGTGAAATATGTTGCGATACATGTGACAATTGCTGTGACACTGGAGATGTTTTGTTATACATACTTTGTTTTATTTGTTATGTCACCTTGCATTGAGATTATTATTTTCTTATTAACATATGCCTAGGTAGTCAATAATAATTTTTTTTTTTTTAAACAATAATTTATTATTTATCAAATAATAAAATTTATTTATTGTCTAGTAATAAAATCATTTTTCTTTTCAAGGTACGGAGTTCAAGTTGATGTATGGGCAGCTGGTGTTATTACATACATTTTGCTCTGTGGTTTCCCACCATTTAGAAGGTAATCAAAAGTAATAAACATTATGTGTCCATATTATGTATTATAACATAGTGAATAATTTAACAGTCTTTAGCGAATCTCAAATGTTAATTTGTGGTCAGTGGCAATTGTGTGTACTCGCTGAAGATCTGTAAGGCCAAACTCAAATTTTATATCCAATAGTAGCTATGCATGATTTACAATAGCTACTGGGCACTCAAAATTATGGTATTGCTTTGCTATTCTGTAATTAACATATTTAAATATATATCGAGTACAATGAATAATAACTTTTCATTATTTTAATGAAGAATAAATAATAAACATGTATTACTCTAACTCCAGAACTATTTATTTAGTTTATTTATTCTTTCTATATCCTGAAATGCACTTTCAATACACATGTACTGATATCAAAAATGGTTGAGTTAAAAACAAAAGTGGGTATAAAATCAAATAATGAATGTAACAACTTAATAGCTGAAAAATGAAATGGTCCTATGCCCTTGTGGTATTATTCTGTAATTTAGATATTTTGACTACAGTGAATAATAATGTGTTCATATTTTGATATAATAGCGAGAACAATGACCAGGAGGAGCTGTTTGATAAGATTATTATTGGAAATTACACATTTATATCTCCGTTTTGGGATGATATCTCTAACCTGGCCAAGGAACTCATTATGTGCATGCTGGAGATTGACCCTGAGAAACGATATACTGCCCTCGAGGTCATGCAACATCCATGGGTTGCGGTACGATTTTAGCTTCTTATTTTCTTTGTCTATTGTAAAACGTATGTATGTGGTATTAATTTTGGTATGGAAAAACACCTAATCAGTTAATTTAAAGTTTTTTTAAATAACATATTTCTAAGTATTGGAATTTATGATTATGCAATAACTTCAGAAAAGTCATTCCTTATGTAAAAAAAACCATGGGGTTCGCGTAGAGGCCAAAGGTCGGCAAAGCAACTGAATGGTAATCTGAGAGTTTGTGGTTCTGATCCATATTATATTAGTGTATAAAATATGTATAAATATATATACAAAAAATAATCATAAGTTGTCAGAGGTGATAATAATAATAATAATAATCAAATAATAATAATAATAGTAATAATAAATAATAATAATACATTAAGTTTATTAACCACAAAGCCTAATTCAAAAATAGTCGCTGACATTGACACGTAGTGTTAGTGATCATTTCGTAATTTTTAAATTCAGGTCAGAAACTATGTTTTCCAAAAGTGAAAGTTTAATCCTAATATATTATGATTTATGTAAAATAATATTAATAATTTACTTTGAAGCTAAGTGAAATTGTTTTATTTTATTATTACATTATATAAACAGTCGGTCTGATTTTCCTTTCTAAACCTGTTAGATATCCTTAGTAAATTATTATTTATTTTCATTAAAATATCTAATTGTTGATTGATTTTTTTGTATACAGGAGGACGGAGGAATTGAACGTGACTTTCCCATTGAGCTGTCGAAGAAATTGAGCATGAACTTTGACATCAAACCGAAGCAGTCTATGAAATCTGCCGGCATCGCTCTTGTGGCTGTAGGTTTGACATTTAAATACAAGAGAGCTTATAATTACGCGACGACAGTAATATCTACCGTATGTCCAAATAGTATTATGTAGTCATTTGCCCTCGAAGACTGGTTTGCATTGCATCTTCGTCAGAAAATGCAAGACAGTCACAGATGACTTAATCCACCTTAATGTCATGTCGTCTTGCAATGTAAAGCTCCCTGTAATTACAACATTAAAAGTCTATACAAAGAATTATGAAAAAAACTACACATTGCATCAGCAACAAGAAAAACAATTGAAGTAAAAAATCTAGAAAATTCATAAACCCATTGTTTACACATAATTTTTTTTTGCATTTTAAATCTGTATTATTATTGTAACAACATTACATTAGAACTGCATGTAATTGTTTTGCAGTTCAAGCACCAATATAGTTTAGTTATCAAAATTTATTTGTAAAAGTTGACTTCATTTTTAATGTAGAGAATAGCAAATGGTGCAAATATGTGAATTGTTTACATAAGATCTACATCATCATTGATTTGTGTTGTAATTTGTTTGTATATATGATTTATTTTTTTCAAACAAAATTGAGAAATATATCTAATTTTTTCAGAAACCATCAGGAATTCCAAAGAGGAAAAAATGACATTGACTCAAATGATTTTGGTAAAATTGCACCTTTAGTCAACATGTTGAGGTGTGTTGACTGTAACCATGGCAATAAAGCACCTTGATTAATAACACATTTCTGATCTGATCAAACTAACAATTTTTATTCCTTTTTAATTCTTGTATGCATTTTTTGGAAATGACAAACTTGTTTAATATATTTTAATAGTTTTTGTAATTTAATTTTATTAATGGGATACATAATTATATTTTATACTAATACACAGTTTAAACCTGCACTTTTAATGTAATTTACATATATTATATCTATTTTCTAATGGAGTTTAGTGCATTCTTGTTATTAAGTCGAGATCAGTATAGCGCATTTGGCTAAACTAATTTATTTATATTTATAATTCATTACTTTACAAGTTTTACCAGGGTTTTATCAAAACATTTGCATATGACAAGTTCTTTATAAACTTCATCTTACACTTTCTGGAATAACATTTGATCAACCAATATTAGACACAGGAATTATTTTAACACTTAGTCATCTAGATTCTAGGAGATGTAAGCTAGCTCTTCTAACAGGATGAATTATGCATGAATACAATTTTTTAGATGGTATTGGTAATGGTATTTGATTAGCATGATAACTTGCATTCACTTGGAGATAACAGTTGAGTGTTTGTGAATGCATTTGTGCAAGGATGATTGAATGAAAGAATGCATGAGCTAGATAAAATACTGAACGTTTAAAGTTGGTACATCCTGCTAAAGGCTAAGATCATACTTAATATATTATTGTTACATACATTAAGTTATAATTGTGTATGGTATATATATATATATATATGCTTATCAGTTTACTCAACCTGGTGCTGTATGTTAATCCATCAAACTTTTGAGCTTGATAACATTTCTAATTTTGTCTATCTTTCTTACATTGAGATGTATCCTGTGTTTGGGATTTAGAGGGTTATCCCAAATACCATAGCTTTTGACAATGTGCTCATATGATATGTAATAAGTCAATTAAAATCAAAACAGTGTTATCTGTCCTGAGTAGAGCATACGTAATTCTTCTAAATTTGAATAAGTATCTGATAAAGAACTGGAGTAGAGCGTACGTAATTCTTCATACATTTGAATGTAGCTATTAGTTTTTAGAAGTTTTAATTTGTGATCACAGTTCACCATCCAATTCGAGACCAATTTAGTACCTGAAGATTGAGCATGATTTCAGGGTTCAGTCTCTAATTAGAAGATTATTTTTGCTTAAAAGATTGAAGATAGTTATTTTGGTTCTTTAAAAAGGTGATCTCGAATAGAGGGTGTCAGAATTGAAGGGCACACTGTATAACAATATTGTCTGATTCAGGTACTAGTCGAGTTGCTCTCTGATGATGCTATTCTACTCTTTCTGACCTTTTTATCTTTCCTTTTTTTTACATTTAGGCAACTTCATTAGATAAAGATAGTAAATACTTCAAGCCAGCTCTGAACAGGATGCGAGTGGAGGCAACCTCGGAAGATGAGGAGAATGGGAATGATGTTGAAGAGGAAGATGACAGTGATGACAATTTTTGAGGTATGAAAACCTTAAATTAATTTAGAAATTCTGTAAATGCTTTAAATAGTAATTTTTATTCAAAACTGTAGCATGTTTGATAAAATGCCTAGGCAGATGGATATCCAAGAAGCTAGAATTCCTCCCCCGCCCCACCCCCAAAATAATTTAAAAATAGAGGGAGAGGGGAGAGAAAAAAGAAAATGGTATTAAAAGTGCTGCATGATAAAAGTTTAATTTGTGTACTTGTATTGTATTTTATAATTGACTACACCAACCCCACCCGTGGGTGAGATGCCCTTGGACAGTCTCTGGATCTTCCCCTGCTAGGTTTAAAATACTGTACAAACCCATGATTTGTTTTTCTTTTTATGAATAAATACCTTCTGTGCTGGGAACAAGCACAGCCACATATTTTTTTCTTTGCTCCATTCTTTTATCACACATTTACTGAGCATTTGGTTCTGTGTGTGGGATTTTTAAATTGTAGTTTTGTGGTAAACAAACCTTCAATAAATAGTGGAAATAAGTAAAGACATCTTTTACCCTTTTCAGGATAAGAAGAAATGACATTTACCAATGGACCAGGTTAGCATCCATCATCTACTATATGACCTTCCAAGAAATTCTCTGTCCAGGTGTCTTGTGGGAGTTTGTTCTTCCATAATTTTAATTTATTCATAAGAAAATTTCTTACAAAAAATATATGGGAAGAGTGCATTAGAAAAGTATAATTTGTTTTAAGTTTATAAATGTATGTACTTTGGAATTTATGTCTTTTTTTTCTTTAAATTTTTTGTCAAAGTGTATTGATTCCAATAAAATGCATCCGCCATTATTATTGTTGTTACTTAAAATTGATTTATAATTGTATCACGTATTTTTTAAATTTTATGATTATAGTATCATTAAGTTATATATGTAATTTTTTAACATTTCAAATTACCTATTATATTTACATATCTATCCTATATTATTGGTGCTTCAAAGTTTGATTTATAAATCTTCAAAAATTCAAGATTTTATTCATTTATCCGAGTGATAATAATGATTAAGGAAATAGTACTTAAAAATATTTGACACATTTTAAAAATGAAAATACATATTAATTTTCTAGTTTTTGTAAAGTCTTCAGCTATTTGAATTGATAAAACTTTTAAAATATCATGCCTAATTCTCTGATTGCTCTAGTTTTATCTGACAAAACATATTTAATTTAACCATATAATGGTCATTAATGGTGGGGTGCCAGAATTTTCCTGACGATGCCAACAATTAGGAATTTAGAGTTAAGTTGGCATTACAGTGGATTTTTCCAGCATTTCAATCAAACTTAAGAAATGACCAATCAGAATTCAAAATTTTTAAATTTTTTTATTTCTAATTTTTGGTATTTTTTTTAGATTCTGTATGAATTCTTCTTTAAAACAGTGTTTATTTGATGGAAATTGGTTGAGTGTTAGTGAAGTTATGAATATTTAATCCATTGGATATCAGCCATGTAGATTTTGAGAAAATGGCTTCCAAAGATTCCAAAATCAATAGTTATTATTAAGATTTGTATTTTAAGAGCAATTTTAATATACTTTTCAGTAAGATTTAGTGATTGATATTTTGCAGAAATGTTCTTGAATATATCTTTTATAAAATGCAAAAACATGACAATTTTCAAAATTCTGATTCTGAAAATTAAGCTTAATCATTTTAAAATTGATTTTAAGCCCCGATACATCAGGATTGCTTGATATCAAGACACAGAATAGACCTTTCGTCTAAGCCCATATACATCAATTTCCTGAGTAAATTTATTACTTGATCTGCTTTACAAGGAATCAACACGGTCCATTCCGCACTATCAACTTTTATGTAAAAAAAAATTGTCTGATTTGCCCATTTATGGCCAGAGCTTTCATATACTACCAAGAATTCAATGTAGTTGAACATATAGTGTGGTAAGAATATGATACTTTGTACATAAAACATTATTACCTATGATTCATATCGTATAATCTACAACATATGTATAAGTACTAAAAAATCATGTATGGAATAATATCAATATTTGTGGCAAAGACAAGCCAAACCAGTCACTCGTCGCAAAAATCGATTTTGAGTTATTAATAGTGTTAGCGAGTAAAATAATAGCTATAAAATGGTAAAAGAATCATTCAAATCGGACATTTCCTTATGAAGTTATAACAAGCGTTTAAACATACAGCTGTTTAAAGAACAATATATGAGAAATCAGCCTTCAAAGTTTATGATTTCATGCATTTCTCATGCAGAAACTATCATCAAATCCTTAAAAAGTGTTGTTTTAACATTGAAAATGGGGAAAATAACAGCATAGAATGATGATATAGATATGTAAAGATTAGTTTAGTGCAATAAAATAGATTTTTTAAAATTTGACATTCCAGCATGTTTTGGCCATTTTCTCTGAAACACGATTTGCGACGAGTGACTGGTTTGGCTTGTCTTTGCCACATTCTTAACATTTTGTATATTAAATATCATCATGTTTAATAGATGCAAGTGTCTAACTTGCATGCAGCTAGTCACTTATTCTAGTGTATGAAAGGAACTCTATTTTTACTTGGAAGAATTTCATCTAGTCTTTAGTTGAATATACTGTGAAAGCTGGTTCTATTTTTACTCCTATACCAAGGAATTCGCTTATGCAGTGGTGTAAAAAAAAATTAAAAATGTGGGTTTTATCCGACTACATTTTAATCTGGTTGGCAAGGTTAGCGCACTAACCTGATCGGGCAAAGGTGTTGGGCCTACCTCCCTGGTCTGTGCGCTCTTAGTGGAAATGATTGCCAGCCTTAAACCTGTATTCACATCTGATCTGAACCGAAATATTGACTGCGTTTTTTTCCGATGCATTGAACGCCAACGTCCCTATTCTTTACACACTGATACACATTCTGATCTGATAATTCAGATTCGGTGTGAATGCCCCTTAACTCTCTTGATAAAATGGATAATATAATGATTATTTCCAACACCTTTTCTTCCATATCGACCTTGATACATATCTTTTTTATAATAAGCTATCGTTAACGTTCGGTGATTTTTCTCATTAATTATGAATTTATTTTATTAATTCATAACAATTTGACCATTTAAAAACTTGTTAATATCTGTGACAGATTAGAAATACAGTATTACACAAACTTTTATTGATGTCAATTGTTTTTGTTTTTATTTTTGTGATTCAAAATGCATTTTTTATTTCTGGTGCCTACAGATGTTGGAATATAATTAAATTTATGTAGTTCTTATATTGTTATTTTATGATGCTTCTTTATATTACCTTCCGTGCAATAGCTCATATTTACATTAAACAATATGTATATAAATTGTTGTAGCTTAAAGAATGATCTTTCAGTATTTGCTTGTATTTATATTATTATGATGACATGTATAAATCTCCATTGATTATCATAATATTTTATTCAAACTTCTTTTTTATTTAATACATACTATTACTGTGAGCATTTTAATTTTAATATTTTATCATACAGTTATCATTTTTAGCCAGAATAACTTCATGGCTTTTTGTGTCTACTGCCCTCTATAGGGCAGAGACACTATGTCCATATCTGTATGCAAATGAGCGTCTAGATGTTTGGCATTGGCCATCTGGAAACATTAGAGAGCTTTCGATTGCATGACGGTAGGACGTAATAACGTCACTAAAAGTCATCTGCGCTTGCGAGAACGTTAAGGTCACCTCGTTGAGTAGATTCTGGAACGCAATTTGGCTAAATCTATGGACGCAGTGAACGTAGAACACCAGGTAGAATGGTCACGCATGAGTGATTCCGTTTTAGCGTCAAGTCGTCGCACCAATCAAAAGCTCCCTAATGCATAATTCGGAGCCTATTTTATGTATTTTATGATGTGTTTTTATATAAATTCAACTTGTTAGAAAGTGTACTAATTATGTGGAAACATCTTAAATCGAAGCTGAATAATACAACTTGATGTGTCTTCCCCAATCATTACCCAAATTAAATTATTTAAACTTTGACCTCAGTAACATATTGTCCAAGCCAGTTTTGGTGGCATTTTTTCTCGGAAAGTTTTCCAAGCAATGCCAACATTTTGCATAGTTGTAAAAATGATGATTGAGTATCGATGTCTGTAGTAAAAATATCAATTGTTGATATAATTTAAGAAAAATGTAATTAATATGGTAAACCCAAAGAAATTTCATTTAAAATGATTGATTTGTTAGATATTTTTTATTGAATTATGTAAATTGTGAGAAAGTAAATCATTGGCATGTTTCATACGCGTGCACAAATAGTGATCTTGAATCACTTTTTATCAGTAAAATAATATTTGAACATTATATAACACTATGGTTGAAGGGAATGTGGTGTGAGGTAAACAAACAAAAGTAAAACTGTCACCTCAAAATTTGTGCATTTGTAGCATGTTATGGTTCAATGACTTTTGTCATTTTATATATACTGTATAGTTAATACATGGTGTGTCAACAGTAATCGATATATTGTTATACACATGTAAAAAAGAGGTTTTTTTAAACCAATATTCCAAATGTAACGCAATTTTAAATTCATTTGCCCATTTGATGGTGCAACGCTTTTAGTATTGATGTGTAGTAGTAGTTTATGTAAACATAGAATATGTAAATGTTACTTAAGCCTGGGCACTCGCTGTCGTGTACAACCGTCGCACAACAAAGCCAGCTCTGCTCGCTGTATGTGTTAGACCACACAACGCCGTCTGCTAATTGCTAGTAGCAGTCTGAATGGGTCGTCATTAAAAACCATCTGTTACGCACGCGTCGTTTCATTACGTTCTTCATATATTCGTGTCGGCCGTTGGGTGCTGTGAGTGCCCAGTTTCCATAAGTGTACGGGGTGTTCTCTACTTCGTTTAAACATGTCACTATCTGTGAAGTGTGGTAAGTTGCTGCAATTTGTGCTGTGACTTTGGTGCAATAAATATGTTTAAACTTACACCTTTTAGTTGTTTTTTATTTTTTTTTCACTGAAGGCATTTTGTGTATGTTGGTGGCATATCCAAGCAAAATGTTTGAAACTAGTACAAATGTACAAAGAAAAAATATTGATATAATGTCAAATTTCCGAGACTTAAGTTACCAATCCAGCCAATGATGCACTGTAGCTGGAATTGACCATAAAATATGATTGATGATTATCTAG